AGGGAAACCACACAGGTCAGGAGGAGAGAACTGAGTGTGGATGGGCCAAAAAGCTGGCTGGATCCAACCCAGTAAGGCTAGTGCTGGGGTGCCCAGGGTGGACAAGGGAACCCTAAGGCCCACTTGAAAACTCACTGGTGATCCACATCTGACTGCCCAGAAGGCTGTGAAACTTGACTCCTTGGAGGAAGGGGACAAGGAGGAGTCAAGGCTGAAGTCAAAATCGGGGGTGGGGGGAGCAATCTGACCCTGGGCTAAGGCAGTAACTGAAGCTACTACAGGACAATGGGAAGCGAGAAGCGCATATGAACACAGCTTAAGACAAGTTTGAAAAAAAACCTTTTAAAAAAGTGTCACTTGAAGCAGTAGAAAAGAGCAAGAGTCCAGTAGCACCTTGAAGATTTAACAAAATATGTGGCACGGGATGAGCTTTCGGGGGTCATCGCTCACTTCTTCAGAAGTGACTCGCAAAAGCTCATACCCTGCCATTTATTTTGTTAAGTCTTTAAGGTGATACTGGACTCTTGCTCTTTTCTACTGCTACAGACAGACTAACATGGCTACCCATCTTGTAATTTTTAAGTTTCACAAGGCTTCAAGCAAATGCAAGCAGGTGGGGAAAGAGGAAAGGGGATCCTAAACGATCAAGGAAGACTCACTTGGTATGGCTGTGCGGGGTGCCAGGGGCCTTGCCGAAATGCCGATAGACTTGACGGGCTTTTCTGGGTCCTGCAAGCAGAAGAGAGAGATGCTTCTGTCAATAATGGCCGCAGACTGCAGCCAATGAAGAAGAAGAGATTGAATTTATACCCCGCCCTTCACTACCCAAAGGAGTCTCCGAACAGACGCCCTTCACTACCCAAAGGAGTCACAGAACAGACTACAATCCCTTTCCCTAGCCCTCCTCAAAACAGACACCCTGTGAGGTAGGTGAGGCTGAGAGAGCTCTCTCAAGAACTGCCCTTGAGAGAACAGCTCTGAAAGAACTTATGACTGACCCAAGGTCACCCAGCAGCTGCATGTGGAGGAGGGGGGAAATCAAACCCAGTTCTCCCAGATTAGATTCCGTGCTCTTAACCACTACACTACACCAAGGATTTCAGCTCCCTCCTAACTCACCAGACAGCAGCACAGTTCCTTGGCCCTTTGGAGCAGCCATGGCTAACTGGTCGAAAGTCATGATTTGTCCACCAGCTTTCAGGATACGTGTCCGAGCTCCCTTGGTTACTCTGAGAGCACAAATCTTGGAGAGGGGGGAAAAAACTGGTTGTAAAATGAGTGTGTCTACAAATCTGACAGTAGCAGGTGCTTCTTGAAGACAAATTTAAGCTTATTAACCATCTGCCAACTACTTGGGGATACAATACGCAGCCAGCCACTCACAGTCACAAGCATATCATGTGCTTTAGTATCTACCCCAGAACCAGTTTATGAAGTCTAAGGCATTGTGCCTCTCCCTTTAAATCAGCTCTTTTACCACTGGCCAGGTTACCTTCATTTTGGGGATCTCCTGTATGCGAACGTCATCTGTCACCGTACCCACCACCACGGCGGTTTTGTTGTCCCGGCCTGGGAGCTTCATCTTACGGATCTGGAGAGGGAGGAGCAAGAAGGGTCAGTTAGCACACCTGCATTGCTCAGAAGGAACATCGCTGTGTTTATTCCTGGAAGTGAGTGCCATTACGTGCATTTACACCAACTCAGGTGTTGTACATTTAAGTTGATGGGCCTGGTAGGAGAAAAAGGGACCTCCCCCGCCCAAATTCAGACCCCTGCTATACGACCAGCTGTATGTCTACCTAGTCCCACAGTTGTGCTCCAGTGAAAATACTGTCAATCAGGCGGGGGGGGGGGGGGGGGAGAGAAAAAAGAGGCACACTACCATTTCTTTGTCCTTCTCTGTCTCCCCTTTCCATTGCTTCACCATTAAAGCCTTTTTTTGTGGTCTAAACCACCTCAGTTACACGTGGAGAAGGCTCCAATTATTCTTGCAATAGGAAAGGGCCCATTACCGATTGTTTAGACCATCTCATTCCTGGGGCTCACAACACCCAAGGATTGGGGAACAAACAGCACCCCTGGAAGCTGGGGGGGGGGGGGAGTGAGAACGGAACGCAGGAGTGAGAAGAGCTGGCGTTGGCACTCACCAAGCGGGACACGGCCAGTGGCGGCCGGTTGGTGCGGCTCATGAAGAGACGTTTGAGTATCACCTTGTTGAACTTTGCATTGGTCCGTCGAGCAAGAAACCTGTAGAGCTGAGGGGGAAGCACAGGATTTTAGTTTCCTTGGGAGTTCCCGCAGTGAAGTCTACTAGATCAGGGGTGTCAACATAAGGCCCGGGGGCCGGAACCAGCCCACTCAGGGCTCTTATGCGGCCCGCAAGCAACTAGTGCAAGGGAGGGAACAGGAGACTGCCGGGGGGGGGGGGGGGGGGGGGGGGCGACTCTGATTGTGGCTTCAGCATGGCGGAACCACCTCATCTGTGGCAGTCAAGCAGTGTGGGAGCGTCTGCCCAGTGCTGCACCGCTGGCTCTCCAGTCTGCCCATGTGGGTTTTCTTTTGCACACCCCCTCCTAGCCCATGGGGCCTTGCAGTGACGATACAACAACTCGGGAGTTTACCAGCTGCTGTCCTTTATACAGTTTATATTTCTGGTACCTGGCATTACATTTTATGGCACACATGGCCTGGCCCGACAAGGTGACATTTCTGTCAGTTCCGGCCCTCATAACAAATGTGGTCAACACCTCTGTACTAGATTGTTTTCATTTCCCTGCTAAGTCCAAAAACCGGCTTCTAGTGGGACTGCAGCCTCCCAAATACAATCTACTAGTTCTTTTTTTCTGTCTGCCTCTCCCACTCAATGAAATTCATGCTTCTTTCAAGAGTTCTCACAGATCTCAGCTTGCCTTCCCCCCAGAATGAGCACAGCTGAAAGCAGGACGGGGAGAAGGCAAAAAGGGGTTTCTTGGGATGTCAACCAGACATTGTGGCCAAATTCTGAGTCCTGAGAGCTTTGACTGTCCTAGTTCTCACCTTGACCAGGAGACGAAGGTAAATATCTTGACTCTTGGGCTCCTTGCGCCGAACCTTTCGGTCCTTGTTGTGGCGAATGTCGACTCCCTGAAAAGAGAGAACTATTTGTCAGGGAAACAGTACCAATCATCTCTAGACACCTGATGTTTCATTGTTGCTCTAAACCAGGGATCCCCAATGTGGTGGCCCACCTTTCCTGGTGCCTGCTGGGTGCTTTTAAAAAACGAGGGGTTTTTTTGTCCTTTAAGCCTTCTGACCAGCTGTACAGATTTTTAAGTATATTGCTTTGGCAGCAGTCCCCAATGCACCACAAGGCTCCTGTGACAGCCATTTTACGCTGCACCCGCCACGCTGTCAGAATTTCAAAGGTGCCCCCAAGCTCAAGGAAAGTTGGGACACCCTTGCTCTAAAACTGTCCTGAACTTAAAAGGTATCAGTCTTTAAATCAAAGAAATATGCCATTTGCCAGACATGCCATATGTAACACATGCTGTTCCCGAAGGATACAGGAAAGGTGTGCTTCTTTACACCAGCGCAATGCCACACTATGCTGGCATGACAATGCCTCACGTCAATATTGGAAGGAGTTAAAACGATAGGATTCTCCAACCAGATCCTCAACAGGTTTCACTTATGTGCTGGCAACTGGGCCCTCCAAAAACAGTGAGTAAACAGACACCAGATACCTACTTCAAAATGATTTATCAACCCAAGTCCCCCAAACAGGCCACACTGCAGCAAAACTGAGAGCTACTTAGAGCTAAAACCAATTAAAATACAAACAAGGGATGCTTTGAGGCTAAAACAGCATGTTGTAAGCAAATTCTCATCACTGGTGGCTTCCCCATTCTAGCCGATCTTGATTAAAAGCATCCCAAAATAACACTACATGTCAAGTTTCACCCCCTCCCCAAACACACTTTTCCCCATATGTGATGTACTGCTCAGTGTCAGACTAGATCTGAGAGGGTCACATTCAAATCCCCATCCTGCCATGAAAGCTTACTGGGTGGCCTTGGGCTAAACACATACTTTCAGCCTAACCTACCTCACAGGGTCGTCATGAAGATAAAATGAAGGAAAGGAGAACAAAGTAAGCCGCTTTTGAGTCCCCATTCAAGAGAAAGGTGGGATATAAATGAAATAAAATAACCATGTACCTGTCAGCCATTATCTGGTCCTCATCACCCCATCCAGCGCACACACACACACGTCTCACAATCACACTTCTAAGATGCTCTTCTCCTTGCTGATGATGTGAATCCCAACATTCTCACTATTCAAACCCACACACATGAGCCTATTCTCCTTCCTCCCATTCTTTTCACTGATATCCATCTTGCATATTTCCAACCACAGTGGCATTTTGCATCAAGGTACTATTCACCTGTTGCACCTATCGCTTTATAATTACACCTACTGCTGCGATGTACTGAATGTTTCTCGTTTATTAGTATCTCGTTGAGTCTCTCTCGTGTGTCTAACGGGGCAACGGAGCCCTTCTTCAAACCCGCCTTAACAAGGCTCCCTCGCCAATTGCGCGCTCACCCCCTAATGCGGCCCTACGACGCGGCTAGGCCCAAACACCAGCCTCTCCGTAGCAGCCCCCTTTCTCCAGGTCTTCCATGCCCTCCCAGCTTCAGGACACATCCGCCAATGCCCGCCTCCGCCGGTTCTCCAGACCTTTCCCCGCACCGTCGCAGCACCATGCCCGGTCCCCGCCGCACCCCCGTGGAGGATTGCAACCGATTCCCACCCCACCACCCTCAGAAACTCACCATGGCGGCGTCCGCGGCGCCCGGAAGGAAAAGAAAGGAAGAGGCCGCAGGCGCGCGGGGTTATGGGAAAAAAGAAGCTAAAGCGACGGCCGGAAAAGAAAGGGCGGGACTTTTGCTCTCTATGGTAATGCCAAGGCCGAAGGTTCGCTTTCGACGTTTGCAAAAAATAAATAAATACGGAGCGTCCAGTAGCCTTGTCTGTTCATGGAACTTCCGGATTTTTAGGCACTCCTCCCCCCCCCCCGGTTGACGGAATAAAACTGACAACTTGTCATAGGAAGTAATGGAGGAATCACTGGACTGCCGAATGTATTTCCTCCCAGCTAGAAGTAAACGACAGGCATGCATGCTTTTTCAACGCCGTTTTTTTTAGGCACGAGGGCTCTCTGTCTGTCTCAATTTATATTCCGCCCTCCCCGTATGCGGGCTCAGAGCGGATCACAGCGCAAGATCTAAAACATCATAAACATTACAATGCACATCAATATAATTTACATAACAATTACGACCGTTTAAAACAGTATAGATTGGGGGGGATTATATATCCCTCCATCCATCTATCAAAACGATATGAGTGACTGTTTGTGGCAGGCAAAACTCACCAGAAAATAAAGTTAAAAAGGTAAAGGTTCCCTTGCTCGAAAGCCAGTCGAATCCGACTCTAAGGTTGCGGTGCTCATCTCCGTTTCAAAGCCGAAGAGCCAGCGCTGTCCGAAGACGTTTCCGTGGTCATGTGGCCG